TTTTTTTTTTTTTTTTTTTTTTTTTTTTTTTTTTTTTTTTTTTTTTTTTTTCGCACACAATAATAATTGATATCTTTCTGAAAACGGGGCAAACGTGGATGTGAAGTTCCCTCCTCAAATATAATATACCTTAGTATATTGTGTACTATCTCGCGGTGCAGGTATTCCGATTCTCCTCGTTTCTTTCCCCCATATGAGTAATATACATATATATTCTCCTCCACTTTGATCTTTCTTTTGTGACTCGACTGTTTTAGCGTTTTTTATTCGACGAAACGCCGACCGGGACAGGGAGAGAGAGAGAGAGTCAGCCGGCCAGCGATGGTCCCTTACCCATGCACACACACATACCTCGATCCTTTCTTCCCTTCTCTCTCTCTCTCTCTCTCTCTCTCTCTCTCTCTTTGGCATCTTCCTCCCTCCTTGTGTGAGTGTATCCGTGTAAGATACACGCCGCGAGCTTATTAGCGAGGAGTCTCTGCCCTGAATCCACCCTTATTTACTCTCAACAGGTCCATAAGTGTGTGCGAGATTGGAGGTGGAGGGGGGGGAGGAAGACAAAGGATACGTCGAGCTCGTCGTGCGTTACATTTTTTCACCAGCTGCCACGGGGCATTGTATGTGTGTCCCGGTACTTACGTACACGTATATCATGTGCAGGGCATATAGATACTTCATGGCCCAGTTCGATCGTAAACTCATTTCGTCTCTTTTTTTTCCCCCTTTCTCTCTCTCTCTCTCTCTCTATCGGAGGGATCGGATCTCGCCGGTGGATTAATTAATCGTCTGTGTACTTTTGCCAAGTTCTTTTTTTTCCTTTTTTTTTCAAGAGCTGAGGATCGGAGATTCAGCGCCCAAACGACATTTACAAGTTGGAGGGAGAATATATATTGCCGCAAAAACACAAGAGAGGATCTATCGAGAAAGCACCAGCGTCATCTTGATATTTCCCTCGCTGGTGTGATTAATCATCGATAAGAGCGAAAGGAAAAACACGCCGATCATTCTTGATTTTTCCTCGTTTTCCAAAAAAAAAAAAAAAAAAAAAAAAAAAAAAAAAAAAATCGGGGACGAAATTGAAATTAAAACAGAGTGACGGTGCCTTTTGTTTTGTTTCTCTTGTATACGGTAAAGGCATATATAGCAGAGTGAGTCGTGTATAATATGTGTACGCCGATTTTCTCCAAGTATACAATTATATACAACAAAATAATGTATATACCGTGGTACGAACCGCGAGCCGGTCGGCGCAGAAAGGGTAAAGAGAGAAAAGATAAACAAGAGAGTATATGTGTAGGGGTTGAGGAACGCGCGGAACGTGCAACGTTGGGGGCCAGAAAAAAAAAAAAAAAAAAAAAAGATCGGCCTGCATTATGATAATGCGTTGCTGCCCGGGGCCGTGCACTGGAGAGAGAGAAAGAGCCGGTTAGTCACCTCAATTCCGCGGGCTTTGCTCTTTTTTCGCGAGCCACGGCGCCTCTTTAAAATTCGCTCTCCGGTATTTCGTACGTATAGGTATGTATGTATGAGGTGTATATACACACGTGCACGTGGAGGTGCATTTAATTAATGAATTATTGATCGCCGCGCTTTCCGAGGGAAAAGGAGAACTCTCTACTCTCGGAAATAAGCTTTGTGTTTTATATCGTCTCGCGTGTAACTGTGCATCATCCACCACCTCGTCCCTCTTGTAGGTACTCTGACGATGATCAAGTCATATATATTTATTAGCATTGAGGATGTACATATATGCGCTTGATTAGCCGATGTTGCTCGCGTTTTTCTTCAATTTCTTGCGGAAATGTCGTTAATTAGCTCTCCGTGTTTTACGTACAAGGTACGGGTGAATTTCGAAAAATACATTGTTGCAGTAATATCGTTATTGGCGAAAGTAATCATGGGTTCGTTATTTTTGTCGAGTAATCCGAGTCCACGGATCACTTTGACGAGTTGTACGGAAGACGGAGAGCTCCGGTTGCAATCGCCGACGCCGGCTATCTTCGACGCGGCAAGCGATCCCTCTTCGTTACGTATTGTTATTGCGCCCTTATCGCTGGACATTTGCGAAAACAGCGGTATGTCAAAACACACGCTACACCAGTAACTCATCTTTAAAGTAGAGATCGGCTGTATTTTTTCTTTCTTTTTTTTTTCCCCCCCGCTTTTCACCGCAAAAAGAGAAATATCAATAACACACCGTTATCGTCGCGTTTCCTTGTACTTAAATCGGTAGCAGACAAAACATCCGTACGTATGTTGCACGCACTTATACATACATCAGGTATTATCGAAATGGGAAAACACACTGTACTCTACCCAATGTAGATTAATCGATGGAGCTTTTTCTTTGTACCAGCCCGAGTTTTGCATTTACTTTTATAATGCGTTTATACGATATAAGTATGTAAAAACACTGGAGTCGCATTATCGCCGACGACGCGAGTGGACTCTCTGCACGCGACGCGAATAGTAAATTGAATAAGCGTGAAAATGAAAAAAAAAAAAAAAAAAAAATTAGAGTTGCGTGAGTGGCGTTGATTCTTTTAAAAGACTTGTCGATTTGAATTCGTAACGAGTCTTCGTGGTGTACGCATAACGTGCTCGGTTTTTCAACGTGCGGACGAGTGGAATATTTGCATCTAACAATAAGGTCATTTGTTAGAAATCGGCAGTAAGTTGCGAAAGGCGGTACATTATACGACAAGACTACGTTGGATGTACACATTTATGTATAAAAAAAAAAGTACGAAATGAGGGGGAGGAGCATAGAGATTATTTTTTACGATTTTGGCGATCTTAGTTGTGCGTACATATACTCATTTGAAAGACCGTACTATTATGCTCGGCTTTTTTTATCACTATTACTTTAAACATGACAAAAAGTATATTTAGATAAATGCGGTTCCTATACACACACACGTGTGTAACATGATTCATTTTTTTACTAGAAAATGTAAAACCAAACAGGCCAAATCGGTGCCCATGAGCGAATCGTGTATTATCGTTGATTTCTTCAGCGCGTATACGCGTGTACTATTTCGCTGATGTGTATATTGTATATGTATATATACCGAACGTGCTCCAGGTTTATATGTTATTCCATCAATTGCAACGTGTATATGGGGAAAATAAAGTTTATAAATACAAGTTTGTGCATGGACTTTAGTTGATTACGTAAGTAGTTAAAAAATGAGAGCCAGAGCCAATACTTTGATTATAGGCATTCCAATCTCGGCTTGGAGCTGAATACTTGTTGGAAATCATCGTATTCGTTTCGGAAAATTTACTCTTAAAAAAGGCCAGTAGACGTGAAAAAAAAAAAAAAAAAAAAAAAAAAAAAAAAAAAAAAAAAAAAAAAAAAAAANAAAAAAAAAAAAAAAAAAAAAAAAAAAAAAAAAAAAAAAAAAAAAAAAAAAGAAATCCAATTAAATTGCGTAAATTGCACTTCTTTTCGCACACACACCACGCGTATCAATGTAGCCCCACTCAAGTGCAGTATATGCACGTGGGATCGAAAATTATTTCCAATAAGTCGTTGTGCCTCCTGTAATTTTATAATCGCGCGCGCATTATATTTTATACTCCCTGCATGCACATATAAGTCGTACACCTTACACATCAAAGTCGCCGTGTGCGCCAAAAATCAAAGTTAACCGCCCTACTCTGCCTCATACTTGATCTTTTCTTTTTTTCTTTTTTCGGGTCCCAAGAGTCGCGAATAATGCAGCTCTAAGAGAAACCACGTGTACAATATACTCCTCATATATATATACTGGGAGCATCGGGCAATCGGTACATCGTAATTTCGTCTCTGCGAGCCCGATACAGTTTATACATGCATATACACACACAGGCTTAGTGTGTATACGTCCAGGACACGCGGACCACCCGCGAGTCTATACTTTCGTGTGCGCCAAGGGTCGTCCCTTTGATTGATCTTTTTTCCTTTCTTCTTTATTTTTTTTTTTTAGGGAGGGGGGGGAGGTTATTTTGTTCCCCAAACTTTTTTTTTCCCCCCGATCCCGTCGGTGGCCGCTCTCTCGTTGAGAGGATTAACTCGGTCGCTCGTCTTTCGCGGTTCCTCACAAAGGAAAGGGGCCCAAGTTATCGAGCACGGGATCTACGCCGCATCGACAGCCGTCTTTTGTTTAGATGAACTGTCCCTGCTTTGATTCATTTGTCGCCGTTTGCAGGGGGTGTTGACATTAGGACAACCCTATCCTATCCCATATATGTGTATAATGTATATTACAGCTATGATGATAAATAAAAAAAGAAAATCTTCTTGTCAAATGTTTCAGAAGGCCCTCGTTTCTCCAGCCACGCGCGCACCGGCTCAAACGCCGCGGGTCTGCACCACGGGCACCAGCACCACGGCCACCACACCAACAGCAAGCACAACCGGGAGGTACGGTGTTACTGTAACCAGCCGCTCTGCGTTTCGACGAACTACATGTGCCGTGGCCGGGGTTGTTTTACCGATCTGCCGATCCTCGGCTCCGATTCCACGGTCGCCGAGCTCACCTTCAGGCCCGAGCACGCCTCGTACAGCGGCTGCCTCGATAGAAGCTCCGCCGAGCGCGACTGTCCCCCCGGAAAGCTGTGCTGCGAGCAGGACCTCTGCAACCACATCGACAGTCCGGCGATGAGGCTCAGGCTCAACAAGACACTCCAAGGTACGGTACCTATAACTACGGGTTGCAATTTTACAATTGTTCGACGCGAGGATGAGAAAAATCGGTATCGGCCAAAGTCGTATACATACGTATACCGTTTGGCAAAACCGATAGGATCGGATAATAGCTGGATAATTTGTACACGTGCCGCGTTACAGTATAAATATATACACCGCAGATGCAGTAAAAGAGATCTGGTGTTTACTCGTAAATAATAATTACTGAGAGTCACTGCCGCAGGATATTTTAACGGTTAACTGGAATAATGCGCGTTTATTTTATCGTGGTGGCTGGCGATGATGATGATGATGATGATGATGATTAACGATTTTCTGATGATCTGTTGCAGTGCTGATGGGCGAGCGCCGAGCGTACCTGGGCTCGGGTCGCGAGGACGAGCTCCTGGGTGCGGACAGCTGGTTCCGAATGGCGACGATCGCCATACCGATCTGCGGCTTCGTCATCCTCGTGATACTCGCGAGTTTGGCCATTAGACTGCTCCAGCCGATGCCCCTCCAGTCCGACAAGCTCAACGGGCTGAGGATGCCGGAGAACGCGCCGCCGCTGCTCGGGCCCTCCAAGATGCCGCTCGTCTAATCGAGGAGCAACCCTCTTGCACACACCACGGGCCAAAGACTTTCATCGGGAGACGGGCTGGGAAATTTGATTCAACAATTTTTTTTTCTTTTTCCCTTCCCCTCTGGATGCTGATGGTTTTTCTTTCCTCCCTTTCGAGGGGAAGGGATCGGTATTGCCGATAGCGACGCGAATCTCGATGTTTTTTCAATCTCTCGGAACTTTTGATTCCTTGTTCATCTTTCTTGTGCAGTACACTGCTCGTGCGTAAGTGCAACTCGCTTTTGTGTTTGATCGTAGAAGCCAAGTGCCGATCTTTCGTGGGTGGGTTTTTTTTTTTTTTTTTTTTTTTTTTTTTTTTTTTTTTTTT